ATCGAATTCAATTGTTACTATAATGTAAAAATAATACGTTTTTTTTTTCGTAGTTGACTGTAGTATATGACATGAACTTCGTAACCTACTGATGTTCTAACAAATCATATCACTTCTAACCTTCTTTCCGTGAAAAATAATTCAAATCAAATTTTGTAATAACGGGCTAATGAATTAAAATAGCACTGGATTAAGTAAAGCCTTCCTTCTTAGGGTATGCCTTGGTCCCTTGCGATAGAGTCATTTGTGACGAAACACCGTGTATTTTCATTCAGTACGTTTTCCATTTACCTACCAGCTCACCCCGTGAGATGATAAAAAAAGGTTATTTTAAGATGTTTTGCCACTATTTATTATATTTAGCCACCATATATAAAGTTCTGCAACTTATGGTGAAGAAGACTAGTGAACATAATTAATTCCCCTTTAGAAGTATGATCTATCCCACAGAACAGTGAATAAACGTTTATTCATTGTTCAGTGAGTAAATGTTAATAATCTATCAAATTAGTTTCAAAAAATTGTTAGTCATTTATCATAAGTAAAGAATTACGGTTTGTAGAAATTATCACATGACAACAAATTGAGAATATTTCAAAAAATATCAAATCATTTCAAATCATTATCAACTCAAAAGTATTATTTTAGGTAGGTATTTGACTAAGAAATCCATATAGTGGTCTTTATTATTTAATTGGTAGCATTTGAAGGTACAGATTACTTAGAGTTTAATAACTTACTTAGAACATAAACGAGGACAAATCCTTGCTGAGAGAGATTTTTGCTAAGACTTCAGTGGATGGGAAGGTTATCCGTAATAAAAAGTATTAAACTTACGCCACCGCACCCTATACTATTTGACTATCCCTGATATTTAATTAACAGTACAACATTACAACCGACACTAAAACCAATGAAATATTCAGTCAAACGTTAAATTCAATCGGAGTTTATCAAAAGTGGATCGTCATCCGAACAATATCTACGATTGGAAACACTTTTACAAGCAATAAATTGTTAGTGGTGTCTACAACATTTATTAGCTTCAATCCTGATTAGATTAGAGTTGCATCCCCTACCCTACCGGGCAACCGGCGACCCTGGGGAGAAGGAATTTGTCCCAGTAATGTAGCCACGCGCGGAACTAATTCGATGTAGTCGACCCTTGCTCTATGTGACTCGAATGCCTCGGAACACTGCTTCATTTTAATTGAATACTTGCGAGGGTGTCGCACTTGTTTTTGTAAAGATAACTTTATGGCCACTTTGCATAATTACCGGCTCTCTAATTAACAATATCCCGATCTATTACTCTGCACTATTGTAGTACAGAATGAAATACCGGTTACTATTGCGAGAATATATTCTAAAGAAGTTATTGTCATAAGACAGATGTTAAGGTGACTTTTAAAGTTATTTTAAGTTTTTGGTGTGTTAAAATTTCAGTTAAAGTTTACAAAATAAATCAGTAACAAGCATTTAAAACTTAACAAAGTAATGTTTTATTTTATGTACTATTGATGTTTTTACTATTGAAGGGATTTCTTTAAACTATATATTTTTTGCAGAGATTTAGGTAGGTACCAAGGAGATGGTCATGGATGTATTCGTTTCTAGACATTTTTGAATGACCTCATGATAAGTATGTTACTTTCAAAATTAACATAGAAGTAACTTCTTCCACAGTAATGCAAAAGTTTCGTCTACGATTACTCATAAAATACAATTACTTGTTAAAATAAGTAAGGAGTACAAAAATGTCAATCGATATGAAAAAATGGTTCTAACGCTACACGTACCGCCATCTATTAGTTATGTCGGAAATTACAAGCATATCGTCGCGAACTTCCTCGTCTGCCTTTTGTAAAAATGACGCAATTTCGCCTACAGGGCGGTTTGGATTCTAACAGTTCGAAGTGCTTTATATTTTCTGATTAGAACCGTACATTAAAACCTTTTCAGATTAGAGCCTTTATCAGTCCTGTAATTTTATCATAAAAATTGATTATATCTTGTCACAGTTTGATTTAGATCTATAGTCAGACTGCCACAGAAAATCTATTTGCAATTTTATTCATATCAAGCACGAACGTAACACTTTAATCTTGAATATGTTATATATAAGGTGCTTGCGTGTTAATAATTTTGCCTGAATTTAATTAATTTAGTTAATAATAAAGAAAAGGTTTGTAAAGTAATAAAATAATTCAAATCAATGTATCATCTATTAATACATATATTCAGTGTTGCGTTCCGTTCCGCTCTGTTTTGGCGTTATTACCGACTACCGAATCTTAGAATGTGGAGATCTGATTCCTAATAGAGTTATAGAGTTATATATGTTCCTAATGAGCTATCCGGTAACCTCACTCACTCAGTGAAAGGCAACGAAAGAATTGCTTAACACCGGTTTTCTGTGATGCCGTGGTATCACTCCGGTCGAGCCGGCCTATTCGTGCCGAAGCATGGCTCTCCCAAGTAAAGAACAACACTTACGTGCTCTCGATATTTTTGACTATTCTAATCGATTTAAGGTATTGTGCATCGTAAAGTACTTAAAGCCTACTTGATTTTATTAACTTATTTATTTTATCTTCCTACAAATACATTGCATAAGGCGGACTTACCTAATGCTATAGGCATTCTCTACCAGTCAATCTTTGGGTGATAAAGACCCGAATGTGGCAGGTCAATAATTGAAACATATGACATAAATTCATCAACATCATCAACAGCCTTTAATAGTCTACTGCTGGACATAGGCCTCTCCTTAGAAAGGAGGTTTTGGCCTACTATACCACGCTGGCCAGACGGGTTGGTATAGGGTTTGTTTCAAGTTTTCCTTCTCTTTGCAGTGTTGTTGTTCTGCGTAGTTTGCTTCTTTATTAGGCTCTTACGATACCCACGAGATAAATAGGGGTGGTGACACTCCGTTTACTTAATCCGTTACCACACGGACTAGGTGTACATAAAAAACATTTATAATAGTATAAATATAAAAAATATATACCTATGTGAATTATTGAATAGATTATTTACTTCCTCAAAGTATTATTCCGATGACTCCGTCAACAAGTGTCCACAGAACTTGTGTCATCATCAGCCTATTGCCGTACACTGCCAAACGAAGCCATCCCCCAACTTGCGTTCTCTAGGCTTAAAAGTTGATCGATAACTGGATGGATGGATGGATGGAAGACAGAATCAACGATACGAAAATTATGTGAAAGACTAAGAAGGAGAAGATTTTTGTCATGGTTAAAACTGTGGTTAATGATGTTGGAAGTGGGATGTTAGATAAGTAAGTCAGTTAGGTAAGTTGAAGTCAACACCCTCAAACTGTGACATTGTTTTATAGGTAACCATGACAATTTTTATAAGTTGAATATGAATGGAATGCGTTGAGAAGTCGGTCTAGTTTACTAAGCAGATCTACATTCAAGTCGAGATAGTGTAGTCGGTGATTGGGAAAATTAAAGCCTGCAGTAGCATCGTCTTTGTTTTCATGGGGAGAAATTTTTTAGGCGATAACGGCGACGTAATATATTAGTGATCTTCTGACTGAAGCTAGTTGTCTGAGTTTGCCAATTTAGAGTTGTGTCTATGTATATGTTTGACTGATGGACATATGAGCAATACTGTGATACCATCAGGATCAATTCAAATAAACGTGTTCATCGTTAAACCGAACCTACTGGACCAGTTATTTTATGATGTCTAAATTGCGTTTAATGTTAATTATAGCTTCATTCAAATTTTCTACCCTTTAGGATTTCCAAATAAGTTTTACTTCCAATTGCTGTTATTTGTTTATAGTATATATAAACTTTCTAAATTAGCAAACTAGGTTACAACAGAGCGGTTAGTACCCAAATAATAACATGCTTGTAGCAGAATACTGTATAACCAGCAGTTCTTGCTAGTAAAGTGCGTGTGCAATTTGTTCTCATCGTTTTTTACTTACCTACAAGTTTAATTCCGTTTTATGTATTATATATGTAGAAGCTTACCGCCGGCTCCTCAACTAGACAACTTAGACAGCTAACGATATTAGATATACTACCTAAGCAAATCAGTCATAAAATCTTTTTCGTCCTGGAAATGTGTATAGGCCAAGGTAAATAAGGAAGGCAAAGAGAAGGCATTTTGAATGGGTACAAGTAAACAAAGCAGGTTATGTTAACAAACATTTAATTTTTTTATTCTTTAGCAATATATTATTTATAATTATTATAATTTAACTACAAAGTAACCACAAAGGTGCATCTTTCATCCCTTTTGTGATGGGATGTCAGAATAAATCGTAAACATAGACAGTAATATATTTCTACTATTTAATTATTAATACTTCTATGTTACTAAATTTCTAAGTTTTACTAAAATACTATTCAGTTGTATTGCACTTTTTTCTAAACGAGGTGAAATCATCCGGAAATACAGACTGCAATATAATTAATAAGTCCCAAAACATCTACATAACAGTACCCTCATTTTAAATATTTTTTATTTTCTTCTTTATCGGTCAATAATATGACATTATAATAGTCAGAATTATTAAAAAATGTACATGTCAATCAAATGTTTCCAATTTATGCAATTAACTCTACCTCGCAATAACATGAATTTAGGAGAAACCATCACTACTAGACAAACTATTAGGAACATATAACAATAATTAAAAGTTAAAAATACAATTAAATAATATATTACAATATTATACAACGTTCTCACTGAGTGACATTAGAGTTACTGCAGGGCTCTGACATCTCACGATTCAACACGCACGTAAAAATGTTCCGTCATACGCTCTTGCACTCAGTTTATTCACTTACAGACGTATTAAAATATCGAAGCACACCACGCTGCGTCCCGTTTGGCAACGATAACACACACTTCTAAACTTTCTGTGTATTCAACAAAACATTTCATAAAGACTCTCATACAATATTGCATAATATTATTGGGAGATCTTAGGGAGGTTTTTATCCGGCGTTTTATCACTAAGTGGGGCTGTGAGGTGGATGCGGAGTGTGAGGGGTATGCGGCGGCAGCGGTGCGGGATGTGGGGATGCATCACGAAGAGAGTCCGGTGATGAACCAGGCGATGCTCGCCGCGGCGGGTACGGTGAGAACCGGTGTTGCGCCAACATTGGCGCTCCTCCTACTCCTGCAGGCCCTAAAGCACCTGGATACACTGGCCGTGGTAACTGAAGTCCCGACCCTGACGCAGCCAGATGCTGTTGGGCTAATAACTGCGGCGCCAAACATGCCCATTGTCCCCATAACGCTGCTGCAGGTACCCCGTAGAGTGGATAAGCCGCACGCAGGAACAGTTGTGACCGCGCCGCCAATATTGCCTTTTCCTCCAGCGTTAGATTGTTGTTGTGCTGGTCTAAGTCAAAGGGCCGTAGTGGCGATCGCAGAAAATGCTGCTCTGCAAGCATTGACTCCATGGTCTCCCTGAAACGGTACAAAATCACATTATAGTGTAAGATCATTAGACACCTAAAACAAGCAGTTATTGATTGTATGATCGTATCTACCTATGACTGGCGGCGCTGAAGCGCGCGTCATCAGGGAAGACTGAAGTTCTTTCGTGCTCCCCCGTGATATAGTATCTCAACAGACAAACAAAAAATAAAATAAAACACCCGATAATCAAGGATATAAAACAGTTATAGGAATGCGAAGGCCAGAAAATATCAGCTTGAATCTTAAGCTGTAAGCTGCAATTAAATCGATTCAGTCCAATAATAATAAATCCAACTATAACAATACTTTATCAGTTTCTAAAACCGTATTGAATACAAATGAACTGTTTATGAAACTAAATGTAAGTTTGCTGTTGCTATCCTTTATATAAGATTGCTATTTCTTTCGCAAACTTTAAAAGTTATTGACTAATATATGTAAATGAATAAAAAAATGCTATTAAAATAGTTACCTTTCAAATTCGGTTAGGCGCGAAGAGTCACGGAATCCCTTTGCGAAGGGATTACTGTCGATTTTCAGTTTCGTGATCTAAAACAAAAGAGACGTAATGATTTCCTTGAATGTTCAAGTTGCAATGCAGTGTTTATTTTTATTTTCACATACAGACTTAACAAAAGACGAATATGAGGATATTTGTCACAGTTGCGTAAACTCAAATATTTCTTGAATATCAGATTTTATTGAATTAAAATATTCACGTCAACCCCAAGTTATCTTTATTTTAAAAACACATTGAGTTAATACATAGAATTATAAAGTTTTGATAAAAGACTTGTTGCAAGTTCTAAGATGTAAAGACCATACACGAGGAGAAATATAGAAGAAATTATAAATCTTGGTTTTGAAATGATCATATCATTACAAAAATGTAAGTTTATCTTTGTATTATTTGCAATTAAACTAATATGAATAAATGTGACATAAATTAATCGAACAAAATAATATGACAAGACGCACCGTGTCTCTCATGTATCTGCTCTTCTTCCTAACATTCTATGGAAGACAGTTCAACTGCAGAAATGTTTGACTATAACTAGCCAACCTTCAAAGGTGTTATAATAAATGCCTTATTAGAAGCACATCTACGTAAAAACGTAACGTAACGCATGGTAAATTTTAATATTACTTTGAAGTAAATATTAAGAGAGAGCGAACCAATGTCATTATGCATCTGTTTACATATAAGTATTATAATGGACCGGCAAAGGCTCTAAATATCTCAGTGAGTACGGGAACGCACACCTACCACCCGCGGAGATCAGCAAACACCAACTAATAAGGTTAACTTATTGACGACACTCCATATCGGTTTATCATTTTAGTTGACTACCTCGACATTATAAGTACCTACAAAACTGTTTGCGTTTTAAATGTTCTGTGCATTGCTGGTTCGATAGGGAATTAATATTGTAAAATTTTGTAGAATGAGATAAAAAAATTAAATTTATTAAGATAGTTTTTTAATAGATTGGGGTATCCATTTCATAGCATGCCGAAGAGTGCTCCATAGCTCGGTCGCCGAAACTTACAATTATCTAGGTATATCTCACAGTCTTTGCGAAACCCTTAAATAAATGTAAATTTCTTTTTGCAGCAAAAGGAATGGACGGTGACATGATATTCCTTTTGTATTATTAGATAAAAACAGGGAGGAACCAGGGTTATGTTAGTAAAACACAAAGGCCACCTTTGACCAGGCGAGTTGATCTTTTTTTTTTAAAAGATTTACTAGCTACCGAAATTACTAGTATTCCCGTTAACCCTTCCAGCTAAGCTAAATTGCTTGTATTAGGAGTGGGTTCACGTCGGTAGTGTACTGGTCAGGATTCGAACCCACGATCTCTTGATCGCAAGTCCAATGCCTTAACCACTAGGCTACCGCCGCTTCTTTGATGATGGGAAATTGTCATCATAGTCGCACTGTTCATTATGGGCGAAGTTGTTATTACTACAACTAATGGAAATAAATCCTCAAAGATTGGGCGTGCCAACGTATACTATATAGGTAACTGGTTGTTTTTATAATCATCACCAGTAAGAATTTCAGAGACACAGCTAAGTAGCCAGGATTGTTAATTAAGAACTTAAAATCAAAGGTATCGTGTTACAGGTACGTGATACCCCAGTTTTCGAAAATTGTCTAGTCTCAGTCTCGAGTTTGACGGTGTCGGTAACAGATGCAGCAACCAGCTCTCTGGGTTGTTTAATTATTATTAGCATATATAGCAAGTAGCATATTTATTATATTTATTGTTTTTATAAAGTCTACGTACTAATCAGCTAATTTTAAGTAGTTACGATCACCAAAGCATGTATTATATAATTTAGGCGGTATTCCGTATTGGCAAGAATAACAAATTGATTAATTCAAAAATTGGATTTCATAAAACATCATCCGCATAAAGCAAGTAGTTGATTTAAGTTGGGAGCGAAGTGTTAAAAATGTGTTTGGCTTAGCAAAGGCACGTCAATGAAAAATTGCCCCCTCGCTGAGTAGCGCCCCCGCTGTGGCTCCACACAATTTGTGAATAATATTTACGATAAAACCTTCCACGGAAACCTGTTACCATTAAATAGCAGACGCTTGCCTAACATCCGACCATATTAAATGAATATCGTTACCAATTTTAGCATACAAAATACTCTTAGTTTGTAACCAACGAAACGTGAGAAAATAGTGATTTTAATAGCAAGCAATAAACAAGTCATCGAGAGTTGGTGTGGTGGTGTCAATCTTTCAGCATGTCCAGTCTGCGACGTTAATTATCTGGCGATTGAGCCGCTCACGGCCAGACGGCCGCCGGTCAGCGCTGATCCGGCTACGCATACCTGCCCGACTGATGCCAGTGCCGACACGCCCACACGACACCTAATTGTACATTGTTCTCACATGTTCTCACCCGTATATATTGGGACGACGAACTCAAGAAAATTAAAGAAAACTTGTAATACTAGGCGACAAAAAAGTGTTAAACTGTCAAAAATACTGTAAAATCAATGTGGTATTTTTACTTCAGTCAGGTTTAATTGGCGGTAGAGTTTATGATGATAGATTACCCATTCAAATTTCTCATCATTGCTAAGTTGTCAATTTAGTAGTGAGATATGTAAAAAAAATAGAGGGATAAATTCATTAGATTTACAGCTAGATTGTTTTGGCATAGAGCAATTAGCATACATAAATACATTTATCACGAATCCATTTTTATTATTAATAACGTTTCTTTGAATCAAGTAACTTCGAACTGAATCGAAAATATAAAGAGGACATTTAGAGTCAGAATTATTTAATGACTAGTGTGAAACATTGTAAACAATTTAGTTTATTATTGTCGGACATTCCACTGAACCGACAATTAACTTTTAATTTTTGTTTATGCATTTGTTTGATGTCCCATCTGAAGAGCGTGGATCTATGAAGCGCCTTGACAAATGTCTCCCTCTCATTGTTCCTGATCAAAGTAAAATAATAAACAGTACAAAATATTGACCGGTCCACGTCAAGTGTTCGGTTCTGCGGTGAGTAATTCCACGAGCGGCGTGTCACTCAGAGACTAATGATTTCGAAAATAGTTACAGGGAAACTAGACAAAGAACATTTGTTACCACTCGTGGCCCATTTAACATTATCTTTTCTAAAAATATGTGCGTTAATATTCATCGCTTGAATGTCATCCTATTCCTGCCCCAATGTTAGCCAAGCTATATAAAATCAATGTATATTTTTTTCATTAATTAAAATTAATCAATTAAATTGGTTTAAGAGAAGCGTCTAGAGTAAAAGTGAAACTTGAAACACAATAATTTTATCGCAATCTTTTTGGACTTTTAGAGGGTAAACAATTGGATATGGGTGTATAAAAATACATTTCCTGAAATATGACAACGATAGTTATATGATTGTACCTAATGTACTACGGAATCATTTCTGTTTAAAAGATCTATTACAATATAGCTTCTGAGATCTATTGAAATAATTGCTAGGAAATACTATAAGAAATATCTTAAAATAAAACGACTTAATTAGACAATCGTTTTCTTTTTCTTATCTAGATTACAATCCTAAACGAATCTAATGTTATTTTACGATTTGAATTTTTGACCAGTGAGAAATATTCAGTGTAACAACAGGCTGACACTATGACAGGAACCTATATATAGCCATATTTGCTCTGGTACCCGTGCGACGCCAGGGCGGTTTGATTGTACGTACGTGTATACCAATGTACTACCAACCCGCGCCGTGTACATATATACGTACATATAAGTGACAACAGAGAGCCCCTCCACGCAAATGCCTAGGGTCATCATAATGTCGCGGCAACTACTTACACTTGCACACCCACATGGCGAGCACCATTGACTACAATGGCCGAGCTCGCTCGTCGCGCTTGCGCCTGACGTAATGAGTGTGCTCACAATGCGAGTAGTAGCTGACAATATTGACGTATTATACATTATGTATGCTACGCTGTCCCACCACTCATAATTGTCTCGATGTTCCCTATTTGTTTTTTAAATTGCGTTTACTTAAACGGCTCCCGCCCTCTAGTCGTCGGTTGACTAAGTGGAAGCTACATCGGTATTCAATTATACGAAACTACTTAAAATATATTATCACCAAGAAGCCAGAATAATGAATGAGATGCTTTCTCGTTACTGACGTTTATTAGATTTAGTACAAACATAAGAACGAGGCGTGTCAAAACAACCTAATTTAAGTATCAACAAACGTTCGCCTTGGGCGGCGGCGGCGCGCTCCCGTTCACTGACAACATTAAAGGCGCCATAATGACATTATTCCCGGGCGGGAAACAAAAAATCTTACAAAAAGGCGTCAAGGAGAGAAAGACGATCGTCGTACTGCCGTCGGTCACGACGTGCGCGCTCTTTGCCTACTCTCTCCAAGCGACGCTCTAATTATTGGGTTGGTAATGTAGTGTTTATGAAAGTATCATTCTCAAACCTAACCTAACCTGATTTGAATGTAAAACTTGTCCACAGAAGTCGAGCACGTGCGCTAATAAATGAAACTGTCGACTTAAGGAAAATTTTTAAAAACGATTAATTTATCTAAAATATACGCGAAACTTACACTGTAAGAAAGATGTGTACTCAGAGTGTATAATAATAATAGTTAGTAAGAAATATTGTGTAACGTAGATGTGAGCGACGATCGGGACACGACAGGAACATCGTGAAGAATAAATAAATGTCACGTTAGCGTGCGCGCGCGCTCCTTTCTTGCTACATATCTCATTGATTGATGCAGTGCAGCGACGAACGACGACTTAGCGATCCGCTACTGATATATTACTAAACATTACAAACGCATGTAGACGCAAACCTTTCGAGTTCATCTGACATACTATGAGAAAGTCATAAGCTTGCTTATTTAATATTTTATCGTTTTAACAAACCATAAAAACATACGGTTTCTGAAACGTTACGTAGGATTTGTTTCAAGTGTATGATTATATTCTATTGTTTCGTTGAAATAACTACGTTTGTTAGGGAATAAAACATGA